TTGACATGCAACAACGGCAGTCTGCCACCGCTACTACAGCTGAGACATGTGTAATATATAAATCATAAATCCATTTCCAAGGGAACCTCCAGAAGGCATCGCTTGGTACAGCTGCTATCTTCTAGTGTTTCCTCGTCTCCTGGCATCTTTAAAAATTCTGGTCAATGGAAGAACCACTTGGCCTGGTCAGAGGGCCAAGTTTCCTGGATGTTGACAACATAGATGTGCATTGTTAGCTGACACTTATAAATAAGCTTCAAGATTAACTCCTTGTTGGACACACGACATGAGCCCAGTTTCAAGCCATGCATGCATGTTGCCAAGCCTAGAAGGCTTGCCACCTCATCACATTTATTTGGCAGACCACTTTATTGTGAATTTTAGTGGGGGGCTAGAGGTTCCCAGGACGCGGGTGGCACTGTGGGTTAAACCACAGAGCCTAGGACTTGCCGATCAGAAGGTTGGCGGTTCAAATCCCTGCAATGGGGTGAGCTCCCGTTGCTCGGTCCCTGCTCCCGCCAACCTAGCAGTTCAAAAGCATGTCAAAGTGCAAGTAGATAAATAGGTACCGCTCTGGCGGGAAGGTAAACGGCATTTCCGTGTGCTGCTCTGGTTCGCCAGAAGCGGCTTAGTCATGCTGGCCACATGACCCGGAAGCTGCACGCCGGCTCCCTCGGCTAATAAAGTGAGATGAGCACCGCAACCCCAGAGTCGGCCACGACTGGACCTAATGGTCAGGGGTCCCCTTTACCTTTGCCTAGAGGTTCCCAAAGGCATTAGTACAGTGGACGCTCGGGTTGCGAACGTGATCCGTGTGGGAGGCACATTTGCAACCATCTGTGCATGCAATTCTGTGCTTCTACACATGTGCAAAGCACGATTTAGTGTTTTTGCACATGCGCGAGTGCCGAAACCCGGAAGTAACCCGTTCCGGTACTTCCGGGTTTTGGCATGTCTGTAACCCGAAAAAACGCAGCCTGAAGCGTCTGTAACCCGAGGTATAACTGTATAATAATATACAGTATAATAACTCATCCATAAGGAAATAAAGCGTAATATACACCAATAACACATTTTCCTACCCACACCTCTGCAGTTCACCAAACCTCAGTTTACTATATTGTCCTGATTCATGCTCAGCATTTCTGACTCAGAGATGTAGGACTTGTTAGGGGCTAGAGCTCTCATTATCCCTACATAGGTTGGAGACAGTGGTAGGTGAAGTCCAACAATATCTGAAGAGCCGCAGGTTCCCGATTCTTAGTCTAACTATACATAGGCCTCAATTTTTCCAGACACTGCGTTGCCACTGAAACTCAAGAAAGCAGTTAGAGGAAGAAAAAGAGCTGGTTGTGCCACCATGCCAAAAGTTATTTTTCAACGGAGGCAGAATATCTGCAGATTTGAAGTTCTCTCCATGAGTTTCATTGGTGGTGGAGCAACATAATTGGTTTATCCAGTCTGCATGGAAGCATGTAGGGACACCCAAGCCAGAAGCAAATATCCCTTTCTATCTTCTTTATTTGGATTTTGAAAGAGGTGCTTTAGTAGATCTTCACACATCATTCCAAAGTGAAACAGTCACCAGAGCTTGTAGAACGGAAGTGCTGAATCAGAAAGAGTAATTCTGAGATGCATGAACATTGTGAGGCTTCTCAGAACATTAGAGCACAACAGTCAAAAGCTGCCTAATGACTGACAAAACAGAAGGTTAATTAAATCACAAGGCAGTCATCTAAAGGAGTAAAAGCAGTAACTTTTATAAAGTTGAGTGATTTTCTTTACAAGTACCTTTGCAAAATCCATCATCAGAATGAGATCTGGATGAAGCAGTCAGTAGCAAATAACCACACGGTACAGGACATTTCCTAAGCTTCCAGCTCCTATTGCAGTATAAAGGCTTTTGTTTTAAGAAACAACTGGTGTTATCTACTGTGCAAATATTAGCACTTTTTCTGATAAAAGGAAAGGAGAGCAATCCTTTCTACAATATTGTTTGCCTCCATTTTTAAGAACAAGAACTAGAGCAGTGGGATAAAAATAATTGCATTAACACTTTCTATGTATACATTGAACATTACAATTTTTATCTGCTGCATATTAAGCTACAGTTCATAGTTACAATTTTACCAATAGACATTTATCTGATACATTTATCTGTTTCCCTTTGCCTTTCGTAACATTGTTTTGCCTTATATGCATAGCATAAATCTGGTCCTCCCCCCCCTTCCCTGGGCTTGACTGTTGTACGTTTACCAACAGAAACAATCTTCTTGTGCCTCAAATAATAAATATTCCATTGAATTTAGGAGAATATTCCACAGTATTACATACCAAATATTGAGCTCTGTGTGTGAGAGAGAGAGAGAGTGAGAGAGAGCGAGAGCGAGAGAGAGAGAGAGAGAGAGAGAGAGAGAGAGAGAGAGAGACTACATGTTAATTTGTGTGTTTTGGGGTTTTTTTTACTTTTTCTTATTGCATTTCATTCTTTGTCTCAATGCTAAAAGCAATTCATCTTCATCCATGGTGTTTAAATATTGTATTTAATTTTATTCAGAGATACTCTCCGAAACCAAAGTGCTCAAATGTGGTTTTGTCTCTTATCTCATAAGGCTCTATTGATGTGACCTAGCCCTTGGTGATTATGTAGTTAGCCTACAGGGGGATAGAAACAATTATATTAAGCTCTATGCACTTCAGCTAATGCACCGGTGAGGTCATCAACAAGGAAATAGTATTAAGTGCATTTCTCATATACACCACACTGAGGAAACAAGAAAAGTTTTTTTAAAAAAATAAAACATTATTGAGTACACACATTCAGCCTAATTATTCTGCCCCGACTCTGATGATTTTCTGAAAAACTGAGGTCAGACATCTCTTGCAGCCACAACACCTCCTGCTTGGAAAATGCATGTAAATTTATACACAATGACAACAATACTGTTTTCTGAGCATTCAAAGCATTTCACATAATCTGTAAAACCCTTTGAATGTTTGTTTGTTTGTTTGTTTTTGTTTGTTTGTAAATTAAGCCAGGATAATTATTTTCCTATTGCAGAACATAATGGTGAGACCCACCTCTTTTGCTCCATCTGTATTGTTCTATTTTATTTCAAATGCTGCCAAGTGTTTTATAATTGTAATGCTTTTGTTTGTTTTTATCGTGGTATGTTCTATTGTTGTGTCCCGCCCAGGAATCTTATGTTAAAGGGCAGGTAAGAAATCCTATAAAGATGAAAGAATACATTATGCAAGGCCACTGACAAAAACAAAACAAACCCCAGGCCATTTCAATCTAACGTTTAGTGAGGCAAAATGTGTGACATGATATCCTTCTGTTTTGAGAGTTTCCCTGACCCTATTCCATTTCATGGGCTGATTCTGGAGATATGGGTAGGGATAGCTCTGCCACAGTGACCCTGGCAGTGGTAACTTCAGGAATCAATTGCTGTAATGTGTCTGAATGCTGCAAGAGGTTCAAAATCCTATAGCTAGGTTACTGAATGGAGCTCCTGACTATTGGATAAATGTATAACACCGCAGCATGAGCTGCCAAATTTCTACTGGGCCACATTTAAGGCATTAGCCCTAAACAACCTGGGACCAAACAATCTGAGAGAATGCCAGATCTACCCAGTCACTAAGGCATGGATAGGCAAACTAAGGCCCAGGGGCCGGATCTGGCCCAATCACCTTCTAAATCCGACCTGCAGACGGTCCAGAAATCAGCATGTTTTTACATGAGTAGAATGTGTCCTTTTATTTAAAATGCATCTCTGGGTTATTTATGGGTCCTGCCTGGTGTTTTTACATGAGTAGAATGTGTGCTTTTATTTAGAATGCATCTCTGGGTTATTTGTGGGGCATAGGAATTCGTTCACCCCCCCCCCAAAAAAAATATAGTCTGGCCTCCCACAAGGTCTGAGGGACAGTGGACCAGCCCCATGCTGAAAAAGTTTGCTGACCCCTGCACTAAGGTCTACGGAGGCCGTCCTGTTTGTGCTTCAGCCCCCTACAGCTCAGCTCTTGAAAACAATTCTGTTGTGGTGTCCAGTAGTGGTCAGCGAGCATGGCAATGCAGGTGGGTCAGCATTGCTTACCTGCCTTCCCAGCTTCCCAGTGGGGTCCATGTGCAGCGGCAGAGCTAACTGGACCCTCCTATCTCTGCACCTGCACTGAGTTCCTTGTGCCTAGGCCCTCTCCCTTTCAGAAACCAGAAGCAATGGGAAGGGAGGCGAGCAACGCTGCCCTGCCCGTGCCACCCTGCTTACCACAACTGGTGGTGTGCACTCTTTAAAGTACCCCCCCAAAAAAGGAAAGAAGCCATGTGTGAATGGTGATGCAGTTTTGAACTGACGGTTAATGCTGCTCAGTTTATTTTTTCCACTCCAATTGTATTTTATTGTGAAGCAGCTTGAGACGTTTTCAAAATAGGTGGTATATAAATATTTCAAATAAATAAAACGGAATCTGGCAATGTGGTAGCATCACTTTATGTATGATGGAGTTGGGTAGGAGAGCTTGGGGGGAAATCCACATCAAATTTTCATGGCCCTGTAGCAGCTATGGTGGCTTATTTACCTGAAGTAATGTATTTAGGGGACACGGGTGCCACTGTGGGTTAAACTACAGAGCCTATGACTTGACAATCAGAAGGTTGGCGGTTCAAATCCCCGCGATGGGGTGAGCTCCCATTGCTCGGTCCCTGCTCCTGCCAACCTAGCAGTTCGAAAGCACGTCAAAGTGCAAGTAGATAAATAGGTACCGCTCCGGCGGGAAGGTAAACGGCGTTTCCGTGCGCTGCTCTGGTTCGCCAGAAGGGGCTTAGTAATGCTGGCTACATGACCCGGAAGCTGTATGCTGGCCACATGACCCAGAAGCTTATTTAAAATTGGCTCCCTCGGCCAGTAAAGCGAGATGAGCGCCGCAACCCCAGAGTCGGTCATGACTGGACCTAATGGTCAGGGGTACCTTTACCTTTTTAATGTATTTAGTGTTAACTCTGGCAGTGTAGACTCAATTCTGATCCAACTAAGCTTCCTAAGGGGTATTGTGCTCTAGGAGGCTTAGTTTGGTCAGAATTGAGTCTATGCTGCCAGAGCTAACGCTAGATACATTACTTTGGGTAAATGAGCCCTCATAGCCAGTAGAGGTGCCAAGAAAATTTGTGTGCCGGCATTTTTAGACTCTCCTACCCATGTACTATCTGAAACCAAAGGGGCACATTGGTTGCCGGATGTGAAATATATTGGCATTATTTTCAGCTCCCCTACCCCACTAATGAGGGCAAGGAGGAGTCAGGCTGCTGCTTATGTCATTGCCACGCAAGGAATGTAATGTATGTATAATTTTGACCAAGGACCACCTAGTGAATTTATGGCAGAAGTGTAATTTGAACCAGGGATTTCCTGTTGAGCCATTACACTCAATGAGACGTAGGTACTGCAGCCCTGTAAAGAAGCAGTGTTATGTTCTGGGAGCCAGTCTGATGTATTCTAAGCACTTCAAGACATTTTCAAATGCAGAAGTAACTTGCAATTGCACTGCTGTACTTTGACATTTTAAGGTAGACAGTGACCTTTAATCCAATGTCTTTGCATCAAGGAAAAGAATGCATGCTGGTCAACATAATGTATGCGCATCTTTAAGGCCACTGAGGAATAACTATAATCAGAGATATTAATGAGTTACTCATTTTTAAAAAAATTGCTGGCATATAAAACATACCAAAGTAGTGTCCTATTTCCACGCACAGTCTTAGGAGCCTGCTTTCAGATTTATATCTCTCTACTCTCATGTTTAAGGGTGAAAACTGATTAAATCAAATGTTTGGGTCAGGACAGATTCATGCTAATTTCAGCATTACAACAGTGACTGCATTCACCACATCAGTATGTCTTGTGATTACATAACTTTGAATCTTATTATCGTATTTATCTGCGAATAACATTAATTTTTCCCCACATCTGTTATGTGTATCTCTTTCACTAGTACAATGTACCCAATAATATCGCTTGTCTTCATTACTGAATATATGCTTCCACTCAGAAGTAATTGCTAGACAGCCATAGGAATTGACACATCTATAATCCAATATGAATTAACCCACCAGATTCCTGATGCTGAATTCTATGCAGATTTGAACACCTGTGCTCCATATCTGGTCCCGCAGGATCACAGAAGTGATGCTAGAAATCCTGTTCTGGTCTGCCTTACACTGGGATCCTCTCTCTGTGCAAAAGGGCAGTATATCTAACAGAAGTTAAAACAGGCAGAAGTTAATGGCCCACGGACTGTTACACTGTATAGGAATATGACCGTGTAAAAATAATTTAAACGTTTGTACTAGTCTGTCAAATTTCTTGGCTTCACCAAAAGAATCCTAGTGAGAGAATAAGAGTTCATATCTGGTCCTTTCATCTAAATACAGTATTTTTCTAGGTGAAAGATAATTCTAGGAGCACCTGCTGAAATGTAGAAATAATCTCATCCATCACAACTAGTTTATCTTCCTCCAGAGCACTAACATTAACCACCAGCGTTACTTCCATCTTTTCTGAATTAAACTCCAGCTTCTTTAACCTTGTCCACCTAAATCACAGCCTCTGGACACTTGTTTAGAACTCAGACAGCTGCTCCTTATTGCTTAGTTAATTAAATGTAGAGCTGAGTGTCATCCGCATTTTAATCAGGCAATTCAGATGTATTAATGGAGGCAGTGGTTTCAGTCTTCACCTGGTCTCAAATTGAATAAATATCTCTAGACCACCAAGTGGTAAAACTGGGATGAGGAATCTGTTGTCTACCAGATATTGTTGGACTATGAATCCCATCAGCCCCAGCCAAAATGACTAATGGTCAAGGTTGCTAGGAGTTATAGTGTGGCAACATCTGGAGGGCCAGTGGTTCTTACCCCTGCAGTAGAAGGGAAAACTTAGTGGACAAATGGGAAGCTGGTAAGATGTGGTGGTGGTCACCTCACTCTTCAGAGATCATAAAATTAGTATAGTCCTTTCCACATCTCCTCAATGAGCTGGAAACTGCTCTGGGTAGATTTATCATGACAGTCTGTGATGGCACAAGCTATACCTGTGAAAGGGAAGAGAAGGGAGCTAACATAAGCTCCCTATTTGTTGCTCCTTTCCTGTGGTTCTCAGTGTTGCCACCAAAGGAACTTCTTGGCTATCTCTGCTAAACCTGTCCTTTTTATGATGGAGAACCTACCCTGTTGCCTGCCAGATATTATTGGACCACAGCTCACATCAACTCCAGCCAGCATGGCCAATGGTCAGGGATGATGGGAGTTATAATCCAACAATACCTGGAGGACCATAGATTGGACACCCCTTCTTCTGTTACTACAGACTTCCTTATTAGTCCAACACATGACCAACAAAACTATTAGGTAATGTGGTGAGGTATTTTGGTAATATGGTGAAAATCAAGGCATGAGACCAAGGCTAACCCAACAACATATTTAGGAAATGATGATGATCATATGCTTTGAACAAGAGCAGGAAACCTGATTTTAAGAAATTGTATTAATTTAATTTGGTTTGATTTGTAATTATTTGGAAAATTAATTTTAAATTTTTTTTAAAAAAAATAGAGTGCAGTCTTCAAATGAATGTGATACAAGCCTGCACAAAACCTATAGACCTTTTGGGCTGTGCAGGCTTGTATGTAACCCCTTGGAAACTAAACTAGAGAAGTTAATGAAGGAACTAGGCTGGCATCCAACGTACAAGCAAGCCTCACAGGTGAGGAAGTAGTCAAGCAAAGCGCTGGTGGTCCTCCTGTCTCATCCACTGATACCTCTTCTGACCCATGAGTTTGGAACTCTTTCAGCAAGTAGAGAAACAGCAATTAACATGGTAGAACATTATCACTTCCAGAGACTGGCAATGAAAGGACTGGAAGAGTCAGACATGGCAATTTGTTTTACGATTAATCTTAAAAACACACATTCAACCACGAATGCTGACAGAGACCCAGACAAAGGTGAATGGAGATTAAACCCGGAGCTTAGCTCTGAGACAGATCATTAATAACTGAAGCCTATAAAATAAAGTAAACAGCTACAAAGGAAGTAAAGTCAATGCACGTCAGAGGTTACCCCAGCTAAGGAGTGGTGCAATGTACACAATGCTTTTCCTCTTTGCACAAGGGGGGTGGGGAAGTGAATCTCACACTCCAGGCAATGCTAATATTAAAAATTGATGAGAATTCACAGCATGCAAGGTTTTTTTTTCTTTCTTTCTTTCAAGGAATTGTTAAATAGTTCATGAGAACTTGGGAGGAACACTCCATTCCAAATGGGAAATTTCTTCAGAAGTATAATTTAACTCAGGCTAATTTTTTTTAACACATAAGAGATGTGCATTGATTGTTGAATACTAAAGTGATGGGAACACCTTTGGAAACTTTTAACGCCTCATAAATAAGCGATGAATAAGGAACTAAGCCTACACACACATCTAATGAGCTGCCATGCTGCAAGTCATTGTCATAATCAATGATGATTATCATCTTGCCTCCTGCTTTTCTGGGCTTCTTTTCACCGTGTTTTCTAAAAGAGGAGCCATGATAGTCTACTACAGCATAAACAACGAAGAGTCTACAAAAACTTATGCCATGATACATTTGTTTGTCTTTAAGGTGCCGCAAGACTCTTAGAACAAGGTATATGTCAAGGATAGATGCACTGGGGTGGGAGGATAAGACATTGTCAATATTTGAGCCAACTAGCATCAGTGCTGGACTTTGACATTGGCATACCTGATGCAAACAGTAAAAATGACACTGGTCTGCTCATGTGTTTAAATACTACACAGAAATAAAGAAACTATAAGCAGGAAAATAGTGTGCATGCACATTCAAACACATAAATGAAAGCACAGAACAGTTTTATGGCCAACTCTGAGCTGCACCATGTGAAATCTCACATCACTAAATTCAAGAAGAAGAAGAAGTAAAACCGCCATCCAGCTGGAAAATCAGCATAATTTCCATAGCTGTTGGCATTATCAGAAATTTAGGTGGATATCCAACAAAGTAAACACATTAGTGAAAGGGCTTCTGGTTGCACAACAATAATAACTCTCCCTCTCCACGTGCCCCCTAAATGTGTTTTGGGCAGTAGTGTGCAGTGAAATTTTCCATAGGCGAACAGTTACGGCCAGAGGTGCCAGCTTGCAAGCACGGTTGAGGGTGTGTGTGATGTGCACATGATGTTGTGATGTCTGGACATCACGTGTGTGAGCAGTGACAGACAGAAGCTTCTCAGGCTTTGGGAAGGAGGTGCCAGGCCTCTGACAGGATTCTGGAGCCCTAGTGCCTCCTTCCCAAAGCTGGGCCAGCTTTAGGAAGGTGATGGGAGGGCTCTTGGACCCCACGGGAGCATCGTGTCTCCCTCCCGAAGAATTTATTGGGAACATTTAGGGGACTAGCTGAGTCCCCCTAGTCCACTGACTGCATGACACTAGGGGTTCTGCAATTCTCTGGAGCTAATTTGGGGGTGGTGTGGAGGCACGTGGGAGGAGAAGGAGGGGCATTGAAGCTGTGCCAGTGAAAATCCTCATGCTAATGAAACTCCTTTATTTGGCCATGCCCACGTTAGCTGATATAAATAATCTCCCTCACTGCAAGAAGTGAGGTTACAGGGAACCAGGCAGAGGGCCTTCTCGGTAGTGGTGTCCATCCTGTGGAATGCCCTCCTATCAGATGTCAAGGAAATAAACAACTATCTGACTTTTAGAAGGCATCTGAAGGCAGCCCTGTTTAGGGATGTTTTTAATGTTCATTTAATGTTTTATTTAATGTTTTATTGTGTTTTCAATATCCTGTTGGAAGCTGCCCAGAGTGGCTGGGGAGGCCCGGCCACATGGGCGCGGTATAAGTAATAAATTGTGGTGGTGGTGGTTTCTTTAAGCCATAATACAATTACTCACAATATTGCAATAAATGTGAACACCACAACTAAGTCAATATACACAACCACTAAAACTTGGAAAAACCAAACACATTACAGCAAACAAAATACTGCCCACGTACATTAAAATAGCAGGCTACCTTGTTATCAGGTGGTGAAAATACAGGTGGACT